CTCCAACTCCCCCAACTGTAGTATCAAGACTATCAAGGGGGGGTTTATGGGTAAACAACTTTATTCTGATCCTCCCATTTCTCTGGTTCTTCTCAATGGGCTCTTAGGAATTTCTGTGTCATTCTTTACTGAAACAGACCTTATTTTGAGCCTTTCCTCTTCCGTGTAGATGACATATTTTTAAGGGGTGGCCCTGAGGTCCATATTTTATGCCCAAATCTTGCTTTATCTTCATCAGCACCTCTCATGTTTAAAATGCTCGTGCTGTTTCTTGGTCTCCAACTTTCCACCTGAACGAGTCCCACTTCTTAAAAGCCCTTCTAGAAGGTCTGCCCTGGATCAGATGTCGGCACTGACCAGCACTTGTTTTTCTCCCTCAATCTGTGAAGTCTGGTTTTAGCCAGTGGGATAGGACTTTGCCGGCAACATTACAGGAATAGAGAAAGGCCGGTGTACTTTGTTTTTGGTGTCAGAGTGGAGCTGGCCGCTGGAGAAAGACTGCAGGTGAGGAGCACAGTCAATACTCCTCATGGGGTCTGAAGCGCTGACAAGCCAGAAAAGAGCTGTGACGGTGAGTGGTGGCCTGAGGAGCTGTTGGAAATGTCACCTTCAAGAAAGATATGGCCCTCTGCCGCACACACAACTGTTTTTCTGCTTCGCAAGATGCCGGGATTGCCTCACCGTTGATCAAAGTTTTGTGCTCTGTCTGTGGGTCATGGGTCCAATTCTCCAAGGGCTAGTTAGCTTTGGTAAGTTCTCCGAATGCAGATTGCACCCCTTGCCCCAGCCTGCTGCCTCAAACGACATATTATTTATCCCCAGAGACGGGATGAGTACGCTAAAAGGAAAACAGCCCCACACGGGAGTCCCTCTGAAAGTTGTTTTGGTAGCGTCATCTTCAGCAGGGGACAGGGGAGGATTTAAGGACAAATGATGACATATAGGGAGGACAATGGAACAGAGTCTCCCCTTGTTTTCCATCATGCCCCTCTAGCCTTCTTTGATTTCTCTACTGGTATGTACAGAAGTGGCAAAAGCACAGGCAAAAGTCAGTGTCTCCTTTATGGAATTGTGAAGTCTTTGCATCACTGTCCCCAAATGGTCAAAGACTGCTGTCCTAGCCGCCAGAAAGCTGGAATTGCACCCAGGACCTAGCCTGAGTAGCCTGCCATCCATTGAGGCAATGCTCAGTAATGCCTTCCTGTGGCTTTTGAAGGCGCTGTCTGACTTGTCAAAACCCAGCATCAGGACTTGGCAGTGTTTGCCATCTGTTCCTGGAAAATTAGATGACAGTTCCAGAATTTCTCAGAACACAGGATGATCTGCAGTGGGTTCTAGTCTTGAGCAATCTGCTATGACAACAATTAGATAAATGTCTAAATTTTTATAGAGAAATTTTTTTCTTAAAATCTTCAGTGTATAAATCATTTTCTAATTCTGGATGCTCACTAATAGCTGATTTTTTTTATTGGTCACGGGGTCACTGATATGTGAGTTTTCATAAATATACACACACATACAAACACAGGAGGTATTTTTAAAAGTTTATGCATGCATACATGAATTTTATAAAAATGTGTTAAACATTGAAGGCCAGGCATGGGGGTCACATCTGACTTCCTCTGGCTCTCATGACTGATTCCCACAAAGCCGAGGACAGAACTGCCTCCACCCTTCATCCTTCTTAACCCTTTTCTGACACTAAACATTTCTTCCATGGCACTGTGCTTCTGTGGCTGGGTGTGATAATTCATTGCAGCCGCCACACAGAACTCAGACTGTGCTCACAATTAGGGGAGTTAGCAGATTACAATTCAGATGAGAAATGCTCGTAAAACATTTGTTAAAAAAACCCCAAACAAACACATTTGTTCAGTCAGGACAGTTTCTTCTGTGCTATGCCTGTAGGCTATCTTATCTCTGGCCCTTAGTCTTTTGGCCTGGCCTCTGCCTTGCTCAGACAGCACAAAGCTCTTTAGGGCTGCCAATAAATGCCCTAAGGGCATGCCACTCCACCATCAACCACAGTTTGAATGTACCCAGCTCCAGTTAAGAGGGCCAGCAACCAGCATGCCCCCCCTTCCAACCCTCCAACAAATCAACTCACTGCCACTGAGTCTGTGTTGACTCAAAGTGGCCCTATAAGATAATGTAGAACTGTCCCTGTCAGTTTCTAAGACTATAACTCTTTATGGGCATAGAAAGCCTGTCTTTCTCATACAGAGCACTTGGTGGTTTCGAACTGCTGACCTTGGGGTTAGCAGACCAACTCCCAATCACTATGCCACCAGCTCTCCCAAATGAATGCCCATAGCCATTCCACTTAACTAGTCAGCAGTCTTCCCACAAGCACTCAACTTTAATTACTCTGGGCTAAGCATTCTACCATTCTGTCTCATACTCTGACTCCTGCCCCTGCTGTTACTATTCCTATATCACATCTTTTTTGTCAAAGCTTTCTTCTCGATCAAGGAGTTTATTATCTTAGGGAGCTCTGGGCCCAAAGGACACGTTTTACTGGCTCTTCTCTCTTGCTGGCAGTGAGATCCACCCACTTCTGCTTTTGGGATGGCTGATTTTTATACCCAGCAGTATGGTAGTCACAATTAACTCTGTCAACTGTCACTAATAGCTGAATCTTATCATTCTCTTATATCCACCCCCCACTTTCATATCCAAACCCATCAGGAAAATAAAGGTTGTTTGCTGTGAGTAACAAAGACTATGACTAAAAGAACCATATTAAATACTTCACTGCCTTGAAAACGTGTCTGCCACCAGTGAATGACTCGAGACAAGGTCTTTAATACACTTGTCGTAGTCTTATTAAGGTAGGAGCCCTGGTGGTGTAGTGGTTACTCATTGGGTTGTGATCTGAAAAGTCAGCAGTTTGAAACCACCAGTGACTCTGAGGGAGAATGATGGGGCTTTCTACTCCCATTGATAGTTACAATCTTAGAAAGTCACAGGGGCAGTTCTACCCTGTCCCATAGGCTCATTATGAGTCGGCATCAACTGGATGGCAGTGAGTTTTTGGTTTTAGTCTTCTTAGGGTATCTTCAAGAAAAATGTAATCAGCCTAAGGGGCTCTGCTCTACCAGCTAGGTTCAAGACTGAGTACACAGCTCAGAAGGTGATGTTGTTTTCAGATGCTGCCACGTCAGTTCTGACTCACAGAGACACTTCCTTGTCCTGCACCGTCCTCACACGTGTTTTATGCTTGAGACCATTTCTGCAGAAGGTTATAGTGCTGATTTTTGAGATTCCGAAAGATAATCTCGATCGATTTTCTTGAAGGACACAAGGTGACCATAGAGACTTATTATGAAGGTGTTTTGAGAAATTTGAGCAGCATTGGTGAGGGAGTTTTTTGTCACATAACAAAAATGTAGTGCACCAGTGATCATATCGGGAAGGTGGGCACCCACTGATCTGATTTTTAGTTCTTTAATGTCTGATAACTGGTCCCTTCTGCACCTTGTGGTCAGACAGGCTGGTGTGCTACTTCCATGTGGG